ACAATTCCCAGCAGCCCTTTCAATGAGCTTCCCAGAACCTTCTGGGAATTGTCATTCAGTGACATCTAAAGGGCCATCCATATTTTGGCCCTAGAACTGGTTCATTCAGTCATAATATACACAGAAAAGTGCTGTTCACTAGGAACAGATACACCTATTTTGAAAACCATACTCCCATCATACTATTCTGAATTTCATTTGCAACATGTCCTCATGGTTTCTTTAGATCAAAATAAACAAAACACTGAGCTGATATACATTCCCAGATGTTTTGAGTTTGAGAATTAAGATCTAAATCCTCTTCATTTCTTTCTTTTTTGCTGTAACTCTTTTGCAAACAAATATACAGAAAATGATGTGCTATTTTTGAATAATTGTGGTGTCAACTTAACGAATAGCAACCATAACAAATAGCAAATTTTGTTTTCTTCCACAGGTAGTAAATTTTGTAAAAGAACAAATGAATGGTTAGTCACTAATCTGAAATATATGATTTTAAAGGGCAAAAATAGAAAAATGTACTCCGAGGGTGACCTTTGTGGATTTGGCATGCTTATGAAGTTGTTTATTATAACAATACCTAGTTTTAAAAACTCAATCTAACTTCTAAGTAAAACAAAGAGCCTATGTAAAAGTTGAAGGCCATGTGTATATCTCTGACAGGTAGAATGAGACTTTTGGGAACTTATTGTTCTTTTCTTAAATGCTTCTTTCTTTCCGCATTTCAATTACTATAAATACACTTAATGCTTCTGAAGAGGTATTTCCTTTTCTCTTTCTGTTTGGATCATCATCACAAGCTGAACAAATTAAATATATATGACAAGCTGAATGATCACCCTGTGTAACCCTAATTAACTAGCAGCATAAACTATGCAATATTTAAATCATTGTAGCTAACAAAGAACACACTTTTTAAATCTCAGTAATATTCTATTAGTTCTAACCAATTAGTTTATGTCAGAAAAATAATTTGGGGTTCCAACTCAATCTGGAGTTATGCAAGAATAAAAATGAGATCCAGACAGCTGTGAGGAAAGGAGAAATATTTATTCCTAAAAGCAAACAGTTTGCCTTTAGAGGCAGCTGCAGAGAAACGGGGTACAGCAGCAGACTTATATAGGGGGAATTTGTCCAGGGTGTGGAAGTGTCTATGTGCTGATTCGAAAGTGACCCTTGCAGTGTGTGTGTGTGTGTGTGTGTGTGTGTGTGTGTGTGTGTGTGTATGTATTTTTGTAAACATGCAGTTCCGATGGGAGACCTAATTTAATTAACTCTGTTTGTTTTTGCAGTTTTCCTTTGCTATGAGGATTAAGTCTGGGTAACTAATCTGGAAGTTTGAGGAAATTTGGGTGAAGGATGTTTCCCTTTTTGCTATTTTTTACTTGATTAATTTAATTTCAGCTTGACTGTCAATTATCTAGTGGAGATGCTGAATCTCAGAACACTGTGGATTCAATTAATGTTTAAAGGGAGATAGAAAGAACAAAATATATTTTTATATAAAATTTCTCACATTAAGTAGCAGAGAAGTGACCAACTTAACTCTATATTTCTTGTGTCTGGTCAGATAAATATACTTCTAGTCTTATTCAATTTATAGTCTACTGACAAAGGGCTATAGATTAGATATTAGATGTAGATATCCCAAAGACATTTGATTGCCTATTATAGAAAACAGGATGTATCATAGAAAGCAGGTGTTTGGCCTAATCAGAAATGTTCTTCATTATAAAAATGTTCTTTATACAGAAATTTCCTATCTGTTGCCATTTTCTCAAATCCAGCGTTGTATGCATTTGCTCTTAAGCCTTGGTCTTGTCATCCAGAATTAGCCCCTCTGTTGATTTCTTCAACATTCCTGTTCTTAGCTACTGCCTGATCTGTTTGATATCTACTTTGCCTGGTAGATTTTTTTTAATGTACTGACTGTAAACATTTGTCTTGCCATGTCTCTTTCTTGTAGGCAAGCATAGTCTCTCCAGTACTCGGTAATCCTTGATGGAACACTAGCTTCACTGTGTCTATTTTACATTCCTAGTATATAGGAAAACCTAAATATATATCATGTCAGGATTCACACTTTTCAAATACAGCAAACTTATTTTAAAAAAGATCTTTTAGAGACAGATGGTTGGTCTATATATTTAATAAACAAATAAACTTGCTGTCAACTATTATTTTAAAAGCTGTTTAACACACAGGGAGAGTGCAGGATTACAGGAGAAGGTCAGTAGAAAATCCTCTGCACGTACGCAAAGCACGCCCACCAAGCTGCACCCACAGAACCAGTGGTAAAAAATTTTTTGAATACCACCACTGTTGCTAACCAGTGCCAGGGTGCAGTTTTCCTTCTGGTGGTTCCTTGATTAGGATTTAGTTTTGTGCTTGATTGTTTATGTGATGTTAATTCCTAATTATATGGGTTTTATTTGCTATAGAGGATGTGTTCTGGACTCTTTGCTTGGTTCCTTTCTTCCTTCCTTCCTTCTTTCTTTCTTTCTTTCTTTCTTTCTTTCTTTCTTTCTTTCTTTCTTTCTTTCTTTCTTTCTTTCTTTCTTTCTTTCTTTCTTTCTTTCT